ATATTATATATATATATATACAGGCACCCCTACTAGACAAAAAGGAGACTATGCATATTTCTTCCCGTCAGGGGACAGTCTCTAATAAGTATGATGTATAGGAGAGGAGAGGAGTGCTGCAGTATAGGGGAGGCTGTAAAGGAAAGAGACAATAAAAGGGAGAAAAAAATGTCTCCTTTGATTAATAACTAATTATAACTAATAATATACCTATATAATAACTAGCTAACTGTCCTCCCTTTGTTGTCTGTATTATGTGTTGTTACTAAAGAAAAGAAAGCAACGTAACTAACCTTGATCCCCTTGCTTACCAAGTGTGTAAGGAAGGCAAACCCTAAACCCTAAACCCTAAACCCTCATAATCTCTAAGACTAGAATTAAGAAGAGGTATTGGATGGGCAGCAAGCCGAGGGGAGTAGGCAGCTAGTTATGAGTTGCAGCAAGAAGTGCTGCAAGTCAACTCCAGTTGTGCTGCTGCAGGCGTCGCTGCAGCTGCTGCAGCAAGGGGGCCCCACAACAGGTGTATATATCCATGTTGATGCATGTATTCCTGAAATCTACTGCTTACTATGTATTCAATCTCGCCTGTGCTGCTGCTGGTGCTGCTGGTGCTGCTGCTGCTGTTGCTGCGCCCGCAGCATATCTCCCTTATTACCCTACTGAATGCATGCAAGAGTAACGCCCCTTAATGCCCTCCCCTAGGGGAAGCTAGCCAGATGGTTGTGCTGAGGGAATACTACACACAAGAAAATTCTGCATTATAAGAGCACTAACGCTCCTTTTGCTGCTGCTGTTGCTGCTGCTGTTGCTGTTGCTGCTGCTGCTGCTGCTGCTGCTGCATACGTCGACCAGCATACAACACTCGCCAGCTCACCTTCTACACCTCATCAAGCAAGTTAATTGCAAGCGGATACAACGAAGTATAACAGCTGCAGATACACCCCACTGCTGCTGCTGCTGCTGCTGCTGTGGTTGTTAAAGTTGTGTATGCTAGCCTTCAGCAGCAGCAGCAGCAGCAGGACCGCTAGTCTTCTTATAGGAGTCGTTTCCCCCTATTTTATTATTATTATTGAATTTAAATACTAAAATTATTCATGCCTTTTCTTCTTGTATTTATTTTATCGCTAAGCTGGTGCTGCAGCAGCAGCGAGGGGGGCCTCGCAGGGTCTTGCTGCAGCAGCAGCAGCAGGAGGCCCCAGCAGCGACTGCAGCAGAACTTTGCAAAAAAAAGAAGACAAAAATATCTTCTGCTAATTTATGTATTTTAATAGACTTCTTTGCTGCTGCTGCCTAGCCTCGTGCTGCTGCTGCTACTGCTGCTGCGCCTGCAGCAGATCTCCCTTCTAGGGAATTGACCTCTAGCTGCAGCAGCAGCTGCTGCAGCAGCAGCAGCTGCTGCTGCAGTCATCTGACGGCTAACTACAGAAGATAAGGCCGCATTGCAACCTGCACAGCCGCAGCAGCAGCAGCAGCAACACCAACATCGAACACAACAACAGCACGCCCAGCAGCAGCAGCAGCAGCAGCAACCAGCCAAGGGAAGCTAAGAAACTCGGGTGTACAGACAGCTCAGTGCAGCAAAGATGGAGGAAGGTAAGAAGAAGAATGATCATCTTTCCTTCCTGCTCCTTCTCCTTTGCTGCCCTTCTCCTTAGGACAACCTGCTGCTGCTCCTGCTGCTGCTGCTGCTGCTGATGCTCCATACTTCCATTGCTGCTGCTGCTGCTGCTGTATACTTTTGGGGTGTGCGTGTGTGTGCGTGTGTGGGTGTGTCTGTATGCTGCGGCTGTTGCTGCTGTTGCTGCTGCTGCTATTGCTGCTGCTGCTGTTGCTGCTGCTGTTGCTGCTGCTGCAGTACGTTGCCACAGAAATTTAGTGCTGTCTGTCTGCGACTTTAAGCTGCACCACTCAGCAGCAGCAGGAGCAGCAGGAGGAGGAGGAGGAGGAGGAGCAGCAGCAACAAGTATTCAGGGACGTGTAGGCAGCAAATTAATAGTAGGGAGAGGCACGCAGCTGCTGCTGCATGGAGGTGCAGATGAGTACGGTTGTTATGGAGATTTGCATGCAATAGAGCTCGGTGAGGGTTTAGGGTTTAGGGTTTAGGGTTTAGGGTTTTGGGTATATATCGTCCTTTTTCTGTTGCCTTTTCTTTTTTAGGGTTTAGGGTTTAGTGTTTATTGTTAACGTATTGGATAGTAGACGATTTGTATAATATAGTAATAATATAAATAATTTAGGGTTTAGGGTTTAGGGTTTAGGGTTTAGGGTTTAGGGTTTAGGGTTTAGGGTTTGTGCGTATCAGAGAAGGCGTCTAGTCGTGAATTATTAGTAGGAGGGTTTAGTAAACCCTCGCCACGTTATGGCCATTCGTTGCTGCAGCACAACGGTGCAGCAATTCTTTTTGGGGGTTTAGCAGCAGATGAGGAAGCAGGGCAGCAGCAGCAGCAGCAGCAGCAGCAGCAGCAAGATAAGGTCAGTCTCCTGCTGCTGTTGTTGCTGC